CTCTCGGTCTGCCCATCGGACTGAGGATGGTAGGCAGTGGAGAGACGAATCTTGGTGCCCAATCTGTTGAAAAGGGACTGCCAAAATCTGCCAACAAACCGAGAATCACGGTCACTGATTAGTACGGAAGGAATGCCATGGAGACGTACCACCTCGTTGAAGAAGAGATCAGCAACGTTCTCAGCTGTAGCGGTGGTGGAGGTAGGGAGGAAGTGTGCCATTTTGCTGAGCTTGTCTACCACTGTGAGGATAGCGTTGTGATGGGAGGAGGTGCGAGGCAGATCTGTGATGAAATCGAGTGTCACATGAGTCCATGGGAGTTGAGGGATTTCCAGAGGGTGTAGAAGGCCGTAGGGTGCTGCGTTGCGAGCCTTGTTGCACTGGCATGTGTGGCAGCTGCATACGTAGGAGCGGACATCTCGAGAGAGCTTGGGCCAGAAGAAGTTAGAAGAGATGGCTGCAAGCGTTTTGTCCACTCCGAAGTGCCCATTCTGGTCATGATGCTCGCGTAGCAGGAGATGGCGAATCTTGCGCTCTGCGGGGACGCAGATGATTCGGGAATCTGCCTTGTACCAAAAGGGGGATTCGTAGAAGACAGATTTATCATCAGCAGCAGAGTTGAGATAGAAACGGTCACGACGGTACCCTTTGATGAATTTCTTGATGAAGCTTTCGTCCCATGTGACACTTCCGATGGTGGTGAGCTGAGGTTGAGGAGGCCGGGTCAAGGAATCAGCAGGGTTGAGGCGGCCAGCGCGGTACTCGATTTTCAGCTCCGGTACATACTGTTCCAGGTACTCCATCCATCGGGCCTGCCTCGGGGTGAGATGGGGCTGCGTCTTCAGGTATTGCAGGGTGCAGTGATCGGTTAAGACAGTGACGGGCTGCATGTGAACATAGCAGCGCCACTTCTTGATTGCATGGACGATGGCCAGTGCCTCGCGATCGTGAGTTGCATAGTTGCACTCGGCAGGTTTGAGTTTCCGGGACTCGAAGGCGATAGGCTGAAGGCCATGCCCTTGATCTTGACAAAGGATTGCACCCGTTGCAACCTGAGACGCATCTGTCCATATCACGTAGGGAAGGGAGGGGTTGGGTAGGGCTAGAGTAGGAGAAGAGGTTAGTGCACACTTGAGAGCATTGAAGGCAGTTTGCTGGTCAGAGTTCCAATGGAATGGTTCATTCTTGCGAAGAAGGTTGGATAGGGGAGAGGTGATGGCAGCAAAGAGTCGAATGAACTTGCGGTAGTAGTTGGCAAGACCAAGGAAGGCTTGCACTTCCTTGATAGAGGTTGGCTCCTTCCATTCTCTGATGGCGTTGACTTTGGAAGGGTCCATAGCAAGCTGGTTGTGTGAGATAATGTGGCCCAAGAAAGGAATCGAGGGCTTGGCGAACTCACACTTGCTCTCTTTGGCAAAGAGACGATGCTCACGAAGCCGTGTGAAGACTTGCCTTAGATGCTCGGCGTGTTCCTTCAAGGATTTGCTATAAGTCAGAATGTCATCGATGAAGATGATGACAAACCGGTCCAAGAAATCCCAAAAGACACTGTGCATCAAGGACATGAAGGTGGCAGGGGCATTCGTTAGTCCGAAAGGAAGCACGAGAAACTCGAAATGCCCATACCGTGTTCGAAAGGCGGTTTTCTCGATGTCTTCGTCAGCGACACGCACTTGATGGTAACCGCTTCGTAGGTCCAGCTTGCTGAAAATTGTGGCCTCACCAAGTTGATCAAAGAGTTCTTCTACTCGAGGTAGCGGGTAGCGATTCTTGACGGTGATTTTGTTGAGCGCACGGTAGTCAACACACATGCGCATGCTGCCATCCTTCTTTTTGACGAAGAGAATTGGTGCTGCATAGGGAGAGGAGCTGACGCGGATGAAGCCCTTCTCAAGGAGTTCCTCCAACTGCTTCTGGACTTCTTTCAGCTCGGCAGCACTCATCCGGTACGTAGCACGAACGGTAGGTTCAGCACCGGGTTGTAAGATGATGCGGTGATCGATGGTACGCTTCAGAGGAAATGAAGAGGGAAGATCCGTAGGGAAGATGTCTTTGAACTCATTGACAACCTGTTGAATTTCAGAAGGGATTTCAGCAGCCTTGGGAGGGGAAGGGAGAATAGGAGTTTCTGAAATTTGATTCAAAAAACAGAGGAAGAATTGAGAGCTTGGGTCATTGAGATATTTTTTTTGCTGCCGTTTCGAGAGGATGTTGCAGCAAGTAGAGTGAGAGGAGGAGGAGGAGAAGGTAGGTAAGGTGACATCTCTTCCAGAGTGAGAGATGGTGACGGTTCCAAGAGTCCAATCAATCTTGGGGTTTTTTAAGGAAAGCCAGTCGCGTCCAAGAATCACTTCATGGTCTCCGAGAGATGCTTGCTGAAACTGAATCTTGTCTCTGTATGGTCCGATTGTACATGACACAGGGAATGGTAGTTGTCCACATGAAATCGAGGTTCCGTTCGCCATCAGCACTGTTTGAGGTATGGAATCAGGTTGAGTTGGAAGAGAAAGCTTGGAGAGTAGAGAGGAGGAGATGAAGTTAGAAGAAGCACCACTGTCAACTAGAGCTTTCACTTTCTGGCCACGAATCAGCATGGAAAGGAGAAGAGGTTCAGAGGGGTTACGACTTTCAAGGGAAGAGATGGTGGGGCAGGCATAGTCACCAGAAAGTTGCCCCGAGTTTACTGGCGACTTGAGTTTCCCGGCGTTGGAAGGATGGGAGGCTGATTGGTGCGTTGGCGGCAGACCTTCCACACGTGCCCTTTCTTGCCGCACTTGTAACACACGATGGCTGGCCTCGGGTTTCTCTTTCTCTTCTCCATCAGGTCCAGGTCCATAGGAGCAGATTCTTGAAGATTGGAGTCAGTTGGAGTAGAGGGCTGGTAGGAGGGAGCAAACGGAAGGAACGGGCTATGAGGAAAGCGAGGCTTGTTGTATGCGTAATGGACAGAATCATACCGTTCAGCCACGCGTATCATTTCCTCGAGCGTAGAGCAGTCCCTCAGCTCGACCTCCATGCGCACGTTTGTTTTCAGCCCGCGCTTGAAACGATCCATCCGTTCAGCATCGGAAAGGTCCGGGATCTCTTGAGCGATGTCACGGAAGCGAGAAGCGTAATCTTGGACAGATTTGAGTTGCTTCAGAGCAGCCAAGGCGTCTCGTGCTCTGATGTTCGGGTTCACTGGTTGGAAGGTTGCAGTGAAGATCAGCTTGGATTGATCCCATGATTGGATGGTCGCATGCACGGATTGCCACCAGGTGATTGCAGATCCACGAAGTAGGGTGCCGGTGAAAGCAGTCCACTCGGCAGGTAGTATGTGACTTAGGAGCAGGAATTGCTCAACAAGAAAGAGCCAACGGCTCACGACTGGTTGGTTTCTCCCGGGAAAGAAAAAATCAGGAAGGGCGGGTCTAGCGCGCTGATTTCCGTCTGGCGGTGCAGCAGGGCTCGAGTTTGCTGCCGCCACTCCAGCTGCAGCTACACTAGCTTGCATCTCTGCTTGCAAGCTCTCTCTAACTTCAGCAACAATTTGGGCACGGTAAGTTTGCAAGTAGGTGGCCCATTCATCACGAGAAGGTACCTTACTAGTCGTCATGACGCTGTTCTCAAGAAAAAGAGGATCTAAGATAGCTCGGATACCAAATGAAACAGCCACTAAGCTGTTTGGGCAGAGTAGTAGTAGTAGGAAGCGCTCTTAGGAGAATTTCAGGATGAAAGTAGTAAGATAGCTTTACAAGAGATCATATGATGGCTTACACATCAGAGACATATCCTAATATACTAGGATAATAGCATGGGCGCCTTGAGCAGGTCGCTCAGGTCGCCATTCACCTTCCTAGAGCTAAGAACAGCAAGGCATAGTCATTATGATTATGTACAAGACATCCTAGCCTTGTTGTCTAGTCCTAGAACCAATTAGCAAAGCCTAGGAATTCACTAAGGTAATGGGCAGAGATTATTTGTCTTGTTGTCGTCCATGCTGTCATTGATCATGATGAGCACGAGCTCTGTTGGAAGTAGCCATAGCTGTAGGGTCTTGTGCTGTCAAGTAATCTGCTGCGCTGTAGGTAGTTCTCTGCCCCGTTGTGTCCAGCACTAGTGTGCTCTCTGGAGTTGTTCCCACGGTTGGAAACTCAGAAAGTCGGGTCGCACATTTCAAGGTTGGGATTCCAACATTGAATTCCCGAAATGCACTTAGGGTGTGTTCCGAATTCTGGTTCGGATCACAAGGAGCTGAGTTGGCGAAATCGAGGAAGGCGAGATCGCCTTCGTCTTGTTACACACGCCCAACGCTTTTCTTCCCGTCATCGCCGCCCCCTCGTCCATTCGCGTTCCTCCCCCTTGTGCCCATCATGACGAGAGCCGCCACATCCTTGGTCGACCTTCTCGCTGCCCCAACGCCATCATCGCCATCATCGCCTAGTCCTAAGGTCGACCGAATGCGCGTTTCCGGGCCTCGGCGCACCGGCGATCCCCCTGTTTTCTCCCCCCACCCCAACCCCTCCTCCCCTCCTCCCAACCGCTAAGAATAATGATTCAGATTGTGCAACCACTCGACACATAAATCGACACCCGCTCCGAGGACTCAGCCACATTCTCCCACCGCTCCTCGCTCATTGCGTGCCTTCGTCTCCTCCCTTCTCAGTCGCACCTTTTCAATCGCACCTTCGAGATCCTACCCGATCTCACCTCGTCGCGACTACCAGCGACGTCAGTCCCGGCGGGTTCAACTCGGATCTGAAGCTTCCTCATTACGTGGATGGCATGGCGAATAGGCTGACTGCCACACACCACTGGCAGCGGTATGGCATCCAACTGTTTCGCCTCGCTTGCAGTGCTAAGTGTGGGTTGGCTGAGTGCGGGTGAGTGCGGGAGCGTGCGTGGGTGCACAGCATAAGCAGAATCTCTATCTTGTTTTAACTCCCTTTCTCTACGTTGCCTCTGTGCTGGTGTTTGTGCCCCTTTGCCTTTACTTGAAACAACCCACGACTTCTCTGCAGGCATGTGCGCCAGCAACGAGGATTGTGGAGCCGACGCTACCTGCACGGGCACTAGCGTGCATGCTGAGTGCGTGTGCACTATAGAGGGTACTCAGTTCAACAGACAAACGAAGACGTGTGAAGGTGAGTGCTGGAGTGTGGTTGAATATATCTTCTTCGTTGTAACTCCCTTTTCCTACGTTAACTTCCTTTCCCTCCTTTGCCTCTGTGCGTGTGTGTGTGCCTCATCGCCGCTCCTTTGCCTCCCAATGCATGCGAGCTCTGTGCATGCGTGTGTGCCGGCATGGATTGCGGGGAGGGTGGCTGCGTTGAGGGTGACGATGGCAACCCCATGTGCTCGTGCGCCCCTGGCTTCGATTTCATCGAAGACAGCAAGACGTGTATGGGTGAGTGTCTGTTAGTGCGCGTGTGTGGGCGAGTGTGAGTGCGCGTGTGTGGGCGAGTGTGAGTGCGCGTGTGTGGGCGAGTGTGAGTGCGCGTGTGTGGGCGAGTGTGCGTGCGCGTGTGTGGGTGAGTGCGCGTGTGTGGGTGAGTGCGCGTGTGTGGGTGATTGCGCGTGTGTGGGTGAGTGCGCGTGTGTGGGTGACTGTGACTGTGCGTGCGTGGGTGACTGTGTGTGTGTGGGTGACTGTGCTTGTGTGGGTGACTGTGCGTGTGTGGGTGACTGTGCGTGTGTGGGTGACTGTGCGTGTGTGGGTGACTGCGTGTGTGGGTAAGTGTGCGTGTGTGGGTGGCTGTGCGTGTGTGGGTGGCTGTATGTGTGTGGGTGGCTGTGCGTGTGTGGGTGGCTGTGCGTGTGTGGGTGGCTGTGCGTCAGCAAGAGTACCACCCGTCTGACTAACCCCCTTGCCCTGCTTTTCCTTGGAACCATCCATGACTGCATTCGCAGAGATCAAGTGTGAGAAGGATTGTGGCGCCGACGCTGACTGCGTTGAGGACGAGGATGGTACCCTCGGGTGCATGTGCTTCAATGAGGAATTTGCCTTCAACGAGGCGGACAAGACTTGCTTTGGTGAGTGCTGCTTCGCACGTGTTAGATAGACGATACGTTACTTGTGCGGCAACGCTGAGAGGCACAGTTAATATTGAGAGGCAACGCCGAGAGGCACAGCTAATGTTGAGAGGCTCCTTGCGTGAGAGCATTCCAGCAGAACGTAGACTGACTGTTTTCATCTCCCGCACCTTCCCCGTTTTCTGCCCCCTACCGCTCCTTTCCCGTGTCCCGCCTCAACTCGACGCCTTCAAATCCCCATCATCCTCACACAACCTTTACCGGCCACGATACGGCATCCCCGCGCCAACCATCGCATCAACGGTGTCAACGGGCGCTCAGGTCCGAAGCTGCAGACGGCGGTGGGGCTGCTGTGGCAGAAGCCCAAGAGCATGGAGGAGGTCACCTTCCCCATCTCGGCGCCGGCAGAGCAGCTCACTGGCACCTCCACGTGCGTCAACGTGGGCACCAGCACTGGAGGCAACGCCAAGATCACTGTGGTGTGGGATGCGAGCCTGGAAGCGGCTGGCCTGGGCATGTGCAAGAGCCTGGCCTTGTACTCCCATGTGGACTGCTCGGGCCAGCCGGGCTTGACGATCGCACGTCCCGCAAACAAAGGCCGCTCCTACCCCGTCACGAAAAGGTGTGATGCATGTCAGTGAAGTGTGATGCATGTCAGTGTAGTGTGATGCATGTCAGTGTAGTGTGATGCATGTCAGTGTAGTGTGATGCATGTCAGTGTAGTGTGATGCATGTCAGTGTAGTGTGATGCATGTCAGTGAAGTGTTATGCATGCCAGTGAAGTGTGATGCATGCCCGTGAGGTGTGATGCATGCCAGCGAAGTGTGTTGCATGCCAGTGAAGTGTGATGCATGCCAGTGAAGTGTGATGCATGCCAGTGAAGTGTGATGCATGCCAGTGAAGTGTGATGCATGCCAGTGAAGTGTGATGCATGCCAGTGAAGTGTGATGCATGCCAGTGAAGTGTGATGCATGCCAGTGAAGTGTGATGCATGCCAGTGAAGTGTGATGCATGCCAGTGAAGTGTGATGCATGCCAGTGAAGTGTGATGCATGCCAGTAAAGTGTGATGCATGCCAGTGAAGTGTGATGCATGCCAGTGAAGTGTGATGCATGCCAGTGAAGTGTGATGCATGCCAGTGAAGTGTGATGCATGCCAGTGAAGTGTGATGCATGCCAGTGAAGTGTGATGCATGCCAGTGAAGTGTGATGCATGCCAGTGAAGTGTGATGCATGCCAGTGAAGTGTGATGCATGCCAGTGAAGTGTGATGCATGCCAGTGAAGTGTGATGCATGCCAGTGAAGTGTGATGCATGCCAGTGAAGTGTGATGCATGCCAGTGAAGTGTGATGCATGCCAGTGAAGTGTGATGCATGCCAGTGAAGTGTGATGCATGCCAGTGAAGTGTGATGCATGCCAGTGAAGTGTGATGCATGCCAGTGAAGTGTGATGCATGACAGTGAAGTGTGATGCATGCCAGTGAAGTGTGATGCATGCCAGTGAAGTGTGATGCATGCCAGTGAAGTGTGATGCATGCCAGTGAAGTGTGATGCATGCCAGTGAAGTGTGATGCATGCCAGTGAAGTGTGGTTGTCTCGTGTGCTTCTCACCCATCGGGAGTTGGAGTGCCCACTGTAGTGTGGTCATTCGTCTTCATCGTTGCTCTTCTCCATCTTACCTCTCCCCCTCCAGGCCTGTCAAAGCCACCCAGTCACCGCAATCGATCGGCTGCGAGATCAGTAAGTGCTAGCGCATGCGCGTTACACAGGGGTATTTTCACTTTACCTGAAATGTTTTCTTTTGCATATCAGAGAAGTTCTCGATCATGCTAGCATGTGTTTTGCTCATCGTTACAAGGCTAGTGGCATGGGAGATATACGGCCAAAGAAAGCCAGCCACACACCCAACCTCTTTCACTCACTCAACCTCGTCGTATTTCTGCGTACCTGGAATATTTGTCCCACTGTGCTGCCCACAACAGCTACGTGCCACAAGGATTGCGGAACGGCTCAGTGCGTGGTGAAGGAGGGCCAGCAGCAGTGCCAGTGCCCCGAGGGCCTCGTGTTCAACGCAGCCAAGAAGCTCTGCTGCGCTCCTCCTACTCGTAGGTGCCTTGCTGTTTGTTTCAGGCCTCAAGTGGTTTGTTTTAAGAGGCAGTCCTGCATGTGAGTCCAGCTGTAGTCCTTGTGGTGTCTTTGTGTCATCGTCATCCCACTGTGATGCCCGCTACGCCAAGACGAGCGGCCTCTACACTGGTGAGCTTCAACGGGTGGTGAGCAAGAGGTCAAGAGGCAGTCTAGTCTCGAGAGACAGTGCACTGGATTGCATTACTTTTGTGTGAGTTGGGCTGGAGTGCTTGTGGTGCCTTTGTGTTTTCATCATGCCCCCTCTCCTTCCAAGCCACTCGCTCTCATTTTCTTAACCTGTTGCCCCCGGATCTACCTCATGCTCTTTCCCCTCTCCCCCACCCTCCACCTCCCAACAATGCCAGCCAAGTGCAAGCGTGCCTGCACCGGAAATACCCAGTGCAAGTGGGTGGGAGAAAAGTCGGTGTGTCAGTGAAGGGAGGGGTTTGGGGGATAAGTGGGGGGGGGGGGCTGTTGGATGGAGTAGAGGTCCGAGCAACTGCATGCTATTGCTCAGAGTCCGGGAACCAATTTGGCCGATGAGTCATTCAGTGTGTGTGCTTGCTGGGTAGTTGTATCATACGGTACTTGGTTTTGTTTTTCAAAAAAAAAAAATGTTTTTTTCTGGTTTTTTTTGTCTGAGTGCACCCTGCCCAAAATCGTCTCCAAACCAATGTTAGAGTCGAGTTAATACTGATATTGTCAGTGTGAATTTTCTAGGCTAACTGACCTGTTAGTGGTAAAAAAATCATCCCTGGCCCAGGAGTGTTGGAATCCTTGTCAAGCTGAAGTGTTAAGTGTTGGAGTTCTAGGGAACACGGGGTTGATTGTTTATACGAGCGAATATCATATCATAACACTAGGTTCGTATAACTTTAGGAACTTAGTTGCTGGGAAGCATGGTGTGGTGAGAGTACGAACAAGAGAATGGCCAAAGATGATATCTTCTATTGAGCGAGGTACCCGCATTGGAGGTGCTGCTGGTTCCGGGGGTGCTGGTGTGAGAATCCCAGCCACTAGACCACTGGGATAAAAGGGCTTGTCTCAGGAGAGGGTTAGCGCGCCCAATATCCCCTAGGCGAATGCGCCTGTAACCCCCCTAGGATCAAACGGGGAGCTTGACAGCTGGAGCTGGAGGTACCTACATTGGAGGTGCTCAGGGCTGACGCTATCAGACTATTTAGTCTGATTAGTCCGACGATGTCAAACTAATTTTGTACTTGTGTAGGCTGTAGTGGGTTAGCCTATGTAGGGTACAACCCACTTAGGGTTGGTACTTGTATGTTCACCTGCTCAATACAACTCATTCCTTCCTAGTTTAGTTCTTGACATGTTATCAGAGTAGGAACCGTTCCTACGTGGGCCCACCGTTCCGCCTAGTGGTAGCGCCATGCACTGCACTGCTGCCAGTGCGCTGATGCTATCAGACTATTTGTCACGAATCAGACCATCCCCTTTGTGAAAGATGCATTTCCAGAGTAGTCAAATTTTCATCACTGAGTGCCTTAGATATATTGTTTTATGGCCCCTGATTCATTGTAATAGGCCGCAGACTTAGTCGTTTCTGGAGTCTGACTCTACAGAGTATACTGTCAGTGGTCCCTGAATGCGAGTTTATCGATACGAAGCTTCCTGGAAATTTCCTTTCGATATACCCACCTCCGAGATGGGAGCAAGTGTCAGCACGTGGGGAAGTTGAGATTGTGCAGGGTGGGTTGATCTTAGTGTGCACATGGTATACAATACGCTCGGTTCTGGTTCGGTTGAGCAGCGTGTTACGATATGAAACTTCATGAGAAGGCATTTCTGTATGCTACATGGACCGACTCTAAAGTGTACGAAGCCGAGGAGTCAAAAGAGTCGAAGCGACACTGGTAACCGTCTGATCAAGACTGATGCAGGCATAAATATTCGAAGTGAATAGAGCGGGAACAGGTTTGAAACGGGTTCCCGCTCCGCACGGTTTGAATTCGCTGCAATAAGGGAATGTACCCCTTAGAGTACATGGCTAGTCTATGGCTTTTCGTATTCCCTTGTATTCTTATATAAACCCGATGTATGCATGATATTATCAACTCAGTCATTTACATTCACTCTGACCTGAGATTCAATATTCCGCTGCAACACTACCCTGCGATCAACCCTGAGCGATCCTTTGCTAAGTCCCACCTGGGATTGTAACATGGTATGAGAGCTACTCAGGGATTCTTCGCAACTTCACTTCCGTGAAATTCGCCGAACCAAGATCTGGCGAGCGGCACACGCTCCAAGACCAAGATGGCCGGAGGATCCGGAGGCCAAGCAAATCTGACGGCCGAAGGACAAACCAACCCGGCTGCGACAAATGAGGCGACAACCACGATCAGCACTGCCGCACTCGAGCAGTTATTTTCGCGACTATCAACTATGGAGAAAGACCTCCAAGAACTGCGCAAAGGCGATGCGGGAACCTCTTCCCAACCAGTTCAACCTGGACAATCGGCCACGAAAAGCCGTGACACCGCCGCGCACACCTTCTTCCTCGACACAGACAAATCAACAACAACTGCCCCTCGTCCAAGTGATGAAGTTATCAACTGTGCGCAAGCACACTTTCTCAGCGTCTCAAAAATTAAGACTACCGCCGCATTTGACGGCAAGGACTTTTATACATGGAGTTTCGAGCTTGAGCTCCTCCTACAAACATCGCAGATCTACCATTACTTCGACGGCTCTTACGCAAAACCGGTGGAAGACACCGACGACGCAAGGGCTCAGTACTACAGCGAGTCCCTTATGGCATACAGTGTGCTGCTTCGGAATATGACGCCTGCGGAACAACTTAGCATTCGCTCCTACAAAGAGAGCGCTGCTCCAGCCTTTAAAGCCTGGAAGCACCTCGTTGAGGTATATCAGCCGAAGGATTCGGTCACCACCAGCAGGCTCCTGCAGAAACTCATGGAGACGAAGATGGGGCACTGGGAGAAAGCAAATTCTTATATTAACCGCTGTCGGAACATCCGTGACCAGATCACGAAGCATGGGAGCGCAATCTCATAAGAGATCTTCGCTGATATAGTCCTTCAAGGACTCGGGCCAGAGTGGAAGCCCTGCAAAGCGCTACTCCGACAACGCGGAATCATCTCTGAAGTCGCGCTATGCGCCGCTCTCGTGACTGAACAGCAGGACATGGACTCGAGCAGAACAAGCTCCGCGCCACGCCGAGAGCGCCTCGCCTTCTACACAGACAACCGTGAAGAGCGACGACAACCAAGGCGCCATTATTGCAAAATATGCAAGGTCTTCGGACACTCGACGGATCGATGCAAATCCCGATCCAACTATCGCCACCCAAATTCCACTCACCACAACAACTGGGTCGGCCAACAAGACGCTCGTCATTCTCAGCCCCAGCATCAAAATTTTCGTCCCCCTGCACAGCACCAACAACAGCAAGGACAAGGACCTCAAGCAGGAGCTCCTAGAAACGTGATCGCGAACATGGCGGCAAGACGTCGCCCTCGCGCTGCTGAACGAG